TGTTTTAGACTTAAGCGTGGGAGCAGCGACTCCTTCAAACCCAGGCTTATCCCTTGAAAGCCCCACTGAGCCATCCCTCTGCCAGATTCCAGATTCTCTGTTTCACAAACACTGAGTTTACCTGCTCTACTCAGCCCTCAGGACTCCAGACTCCCCTGGCTTGCTGCTGAAGATGCAGACTCCTGGGATGTGAATGAGGACAGTCTTGCCTCTAGCTTTTAATCTGGGGAAGAGAAGGCTGGGAAGTTTCCAGAAGCATAAAACTGTGGCAATCACAAAGTCCTGAATTGGGGAGACAATTCTAGTTTCAGATGATTTCATTCACGGGACCCACGTTAATGATTCTTCTTCTGGCCTTTTACATCTGGTCGTTATCAGATCTACCGATTCCTCTTCTGATACATGTGCTTTTCCTCCCTCTACCACCAGCCCATCCAAGCCTCTGTCAGGTCTTCTCTGGGTGAAAGCACTACCCTCTGATCTCCTACGTGTCGCTCTTGCCCTCTTTCAATCCTACATCCCTTCTTTTCCTAAAACAGCCAAAGTAAATGTTTTGTTGTTATTGTTGTTTTTAAGGATTTTATTTATTTATTTGAGAGACAGACAGACAGACGAAGAACACAGAGGCAGAGAGAGAAGGAGAAGCAGACTCCCCACTGAGCAGGGACACCCCCCCCCCGCAATGTAGGGCTCAATCCCAGGACCCTGAGATCATGACCTGAGCCAAAGGCAGACGCTTAACCAACTGATCCACCCAGGTGCCCCAAAGTAAATGTTTGAAACGTAAGTTTTATTTGTTCGAGTGCTAAAATATCTCACAATAACTTCCCATTGCCTAAACTCTTTTTTTTTTTCTTCAAGATTTTATTTATTTGACAGATACCACAAGTAGGCAGAGAGGCAGGCACAGAGAAGAGTGGGGAAGCAGGCTCCCTGCTGAGCAGAGAGCTGGATGTGGGGCTCAATCTCAGGACCCTGAGATCATGACCTGAGCTGAAGGCAGAGGCTTAACCCACTGAGCCACCCAGGCGCCCTAAACTCTTAACTGTGACTGGAGACCTGACAGAATCTAGTCTCTGGTTGTCACTTCAAGCTCATAGCCTTCCAAACACACAAGCTTCTTTTCTGTTTTCCAAAGATGCCAGATTTGTTCCTGCCTTAGGGCCTTTGCAAGGACTGTTCCTTCAGCCTAGAACAATCTTCCCCCAGGTGTTCACAGGACTGGTTCCTTTTGGTCACATAGTTCAAATGTCACATTCTCCAAAAGGCCTTCTCAGACCACCCAATCCAAAGTAGCCTTCTCCTTCCTCCCCATTCCCTTACCCCCTATCCCTATTTACATTATCCAATTATATAACTCCACATGTGTGACTACCTGAAATTGTTCTTTTTACATTTCCTGTTCCTTTTTATTTTTTTAAGATTTTATTTATTTATTTGACAGAAAGAGAGACATCGAGAGAGGGAACACAACCAGGGGGAGTGGGAAAGGGAGAAGCAGGCTCCCTGCTGAGCAAGGAGCTGGATTCCGGGCTTAATCCCAGGCCCCTGGGATCTGGAGCTGAGTCTCTAAGGCAGACTAAGCTACCCAGGCGCCCCTTCCCTTCCTTTTTAATGTTTGATGTAATATGTAATATAGGATGAAGCCTCTGAAATCAGAAATTTAAAGGTTTTAAAAGAACCCTATCTCTATCCCAGAGTTCTCTCAAAGGGAGAATCTGCTTTGTTAGGATTTTATCCTCTTTTATGCTAAATTTCTTCATTTTGGGGGGTAAGATTTTAATTATTTACTTAACAGAGAGAGACAGAGATCACAAGTAGGCAGATAGGCAGGCAGAGAGAGAGGGGGAAGCAGGCTCCCTGCTGAGCAGAGTGCCCAATGTGGGACTTGATCCCAGGACTCTGAGATCATGACCTGAGCGGAAGGCAGAGGCTTAACCCACTGAACCACCCAGGCGCCCAATTTCTTCATTTTTTAGAAAGATTTTATTTTGGGGGTGCCTGTGTGGCTCAGTCGGTTAAGCCTCTGCCTTCCGCTCAGGTCATGATCCCACCGGCCTGGGATTGAGCCCCACCGTCTTGCTTCCTGCTCAGTGGGAGTCTGCTTCTCCCTCTGCCACTCCCTTTGCTTGCTCGCTCTCTCTCTCTCTCTCTCTCTGAAATAAACAAATAAAATCTTTAAAAAAAATTATTTTTAAGTAATCTCTATACCCAAAATGGAGCTCAAACTTACAACCTAGAGATCAAGCCTGTAACTTCTGATCTCAGAGTTGTGAGTTCAAGACCAATGTTTGGTGTAGAGATTACTTAAGAATAAAATCTTAGAGGCACCTGGGTGACTCAGTTGGTTCAGTGGCTGCCTTCGGTTCAGTTCATGATTCCAGGGTCCTGGGATCCAGCCCTGCATCTGGCTCCCTGCTCAGCGGGGAACCTGCTTCTCCCTCTCCAGCTCCCCTGTGCTTGTGTTCCCTCTCTCCCTATCTCTCTTTGTCAAATAGATAAATAATAAAATATTTTAAAAATAATAAAATAAGATCTTTGAGAGAGAGAGAGAGAGAGAGTTGTGAACTCTACCAACTGAGCCAGCCAGGCACCCTTAAATTTCCTCATCTTTTTTTTTTTTTTTAAGATTTTATTTATTTATTTGACAGAGAGAGATCACAAGTAGGCAGAGAGGCAGGCAGAGAGAGAGGAAGGGAAGCAGGCTCCCTGCTGAGCAGCGAGCCCGACGCGGGACTCGATCCCAGGACCCTGGGATCATGACCTGAGCCGAAGGCAGCGGCTTAACCCACTGAGCCACCCAGGCGCCCCTAAATTTCCTCATCTTTAAGTGAAAATTCTCAATGGTGTTTTTGGGTGGCTCAGTCCGTTGAACATCTGTCTTCAGCTACCGTCATGAGCAGCGGCTCCCTGCTCAGTGAGGAGTCTGTTTCTCCCCTCTGCCTCCCCCGCCTCCCCGGCTTGTGCTCATGCTCTCTTTCTCTCTCTCTCTCTCAAATTAATCAATTAATTAATTAAATCTTTTTAAAAAATGAGGATGCTCGGGGCGCCTGGGTGGCTCAGTGGGTTAAAGCCTCTGCCTTCTGCTCAGGTCTTGATCCCAGGGTCCTGGGATCGAGCCCCGCATCGGGCTCTCTGCTTAGCAGGGAGCCTGCTTCCTCCTCTCTCTCTCTGCCTGCCTCTCTGTCTACTTGTGATCTCTGTCTGCCAAATAAATAAATAAAATCTTTAAAAAAAAAATGAGGATGCTCATTAAAAATTTGATCCCAGGGGCGCCTGGATGGCTCAGTGGGTTAAAGTCTCTGCCTTCAGCTCAGGTCATGATCCCAGAGTTCTGGGATCGAGCCCCGCATTGGGCTCCCTGCTCAGCAGTGAGCCTGCTTCTCGCTCTTGCTCTCCTTACTTGTGCTCTCTCTACCTCTCTGTCAAATAAATAAATAAATAAAAATCTTTTAAAAAATGTGAACCCAGCATTATAGTAAGGACAAAATGAAATAATGTAGTAGAAAAGGACTGATCTATCAGATGCAAAGTAGTATTAGCACTAGATTGCTTCTGGTCAGCTCCTGGAGGGCTGAGTGGTTGTTTTGTTCCTTTCAGCTTCCCAATCATTATCAACTGGGTGTTCAACTCCAGGGGATACTATTCAAATTATACTTAACTTGAAAAGGAACCATTCACAAAAAATACAGTGTGGATGGTGCACCCCTGAGCGCTATTCACAGAAAATACAATATGAATGAGGCCTCCTGGAGTTGTGTCTTGCCTAGCCTGGTGCTAGAGCTAAGTACTCAGGAAATGTTTGCTAAATGAGTAAGTAAAGGGAATCCAATTTTACTTCTGGTTCATTCCACTTCTCAATATAAAAAGGAAAAGTTGACCCGGTTGGAGAGTGGGAGAGGAGGAAAGGCTGTCATTAATCTACACACACTAATTAGGCATCTAGCTACAAGGCTTCAATGCTTCAATGAGATGGGTATGTCTGTGTGTCCTGGTGGTGATGTCGGGAGGAAGGAATGGATATTAGAGCAAGTATCCTATCCCCAAAGTCCTCTTCTTGATTTTTTTTTTTTGAAATATTACATCTCAGTGTGGTCTGTATCACGTTGGTGATTTGACAGCCCTGGGTTTAGCACCCAAATTCTTACATTGAATTAACATTGTTTATTCGTTTAAAAAAAAGGAAGAAGAAAAAGAAAGAAAAAAAAAAAAAGAAAAGAAAAGAAATGAGTTCTCAGCGCCTACCAGAGACAAATTCTGTCCTAGAGCTGGACGTAGAGTGGTAAACAAGACAGCAGAGGTCCCCACCCACCTTGGGGAAAACATACCACTTGTATCTTATATCACCCTGCAGGTGTTACCACTCTCAGAAATGGTGTTTAAATTGAGACTAGAAGAATAAGTAGGTGTGAGAGTATGAATGATAGAGACGAAGCAAAACCAGGAGGGTTGACAAACATGGCCCCTTGGGTCTAGCGCAGGGGCCAGATCATGCAGGACTTGTGGAGTTATGATTTTTATCCTAAGGTAATTAGGAGCTAGTAAAGCATTTAAGAAGAAAAGTCACACGGTCAAATTTGAATTTGTTAACGGAACGCGGGAGTCGATGGGGTCAAAAGGAGGGGGCAGGGAGACTCGTGAAGGGGCCACTGCGACTGTCTCGGCGACAGATGATGATGTCTTTAAACCAGGGTGGTGCCGATGGAGAGAAGTGGACAGTTCCAGGTACATTAGGAAGCGAAATTCGATGGGGCTGGTGACGGAAAAATAACCGTACTTCATAAAAGAAAGCATAGAGAAGAAAAAGGACGCATGTTGATAAAAGACCAGTTTACTTTGCTCCTTAACCCACCTGGCATCCCCCTTCCCTTAGCCCTGTCGCCTCAATTTAGAGATGGCAGTAAGACGAGGGGCGGGGCAGGCGCCCACAAAAATCCGGGCACTTTTATTTAAAGCGGGTGGACGTCACCCGAGAGCAGAATACAGAACACAAGGCACTTCCGGTTACTCCGGAAGTGAAGACTTCTAAGCTCCTCCGCCGGCCGAGGGCCAGGTTGAAGGGATGGCCGGGCGGACGGCGCGGCTGGTGCTGCTAGCTGGAGCAGCCGCGCTGGCAAGCGGCTCCCAGGGCGACCGCGAGCCGGTGTACCGCGACTGCGTGCACCGGTGCGAAGAGCGGAACTGCTCGGGGGGCGCACTGAGGCACTTCCGTTCCCGCCAGCCAATCTACATGAGTTTAGCAGGTAAGCCCCACCCCGCGGAAAGCCCCGCCCCTCAGCCTTGGCTCCGCCCCCTTGCTCCCCTAAACCACCTCTGAACCTTCGTTTACCCCTTCTCCGTTATGAGTGTGAATGGAGCCCCCGGTTGATCAGAGCAGCATCAGCCAGTCTTAGTTACTTTTTTATTTATTCAATTAGGTATTTATTTAATATTCCTGGGAACTGGCCCTAGAATGACACTGAAATTGGACCCAGTGTCCTGGCATTCGGGGTCATAGTCTTCACGGGAACATTAGCCTTCTCCAGCCCAAGGGAGAGGATGATTTGAGTCCTAAAAGACCCCTAAGTCAAGCAATAGCGGCATATGGAGGAGGAAGGAATCATTTCTGGCTTTGAGACTGTAGGGGCAGTGATCATCCTTGGAACTTTCTGCGAGGGAAGGGCTTCAGGATGGATACATTAAATTTGGACCTGTGGCCATAGTGGTCAGCTGGTGTGTGACAGGAGTCACAGTAGGTCCGGTCATTTTCACAACCCTTGAAGGTGATTACCTTTCACCCAATTTTACAATGGGGAGACTTGGAGAGGTTAAGTGCCCTGCCCTAAGTCACACAGGCAGAAAGTGGTAAAGCGGAGTTTCCAGTTCTGGCCCGTCTGACTATAAGTTTGTGCTCTTTACTCTGCCTTTGCACTCCAGAGGGAACAGAGAGCATGTAGGCCCTGGGCAGATGTGAGCATCTCTGGTATCTTGGTTTACTCCGGGAGCAGGGTTCAGGGTGCCTGAAAAGTATGGGAAATAAAGTTGGATAAGCAGTTTGGGGGCCTCAAAAGTCAGAGGGAAGAATTTGGGCTTCATTTTCTTTTTTTTTTTTTTTTTAAGATTTTATTTATTTATTTGACAGAGAGATCACAAGTAGGCAGAGAGGCAGGCAGAGAGAGAGGGAAGCAGGCTCCTCGCAGAGCAGAGAGCCCAATGCAGGGCCCGATCCCAGGACCCTGAGATCATGACCTGAGCCGAAGGCAGAGGCTTTAACCCACTGAGCCACCCAGGCGCCGCTGGGCTTCATTTTCATGTGAGCGGGGTAAGATGGCAAGAGTTCCTCCCTGGCGAGTGAGAGCAAAGCCTAAGTTCAGCAATAACAAACATAGCTCACCTATCCATTGATGAGTCTGTCAGATGCCAAAGTTCCCATCTTGGTGGAAGGAGAAGAGAAGAAACATCTCTGCTCGCAGCAGACCCCCATCCCCTAAAACACACACACATACACACGCCTTTCCTTTATGTGTGTAGCCCACCATCTCTCATACAACCAAGCGGGAAGCTAGAATTTCGAGATTTCATCTGGTTCTCTCCAACCTGCAGGCCCTCTTAGCCTGGATTTGAGTTTGGGTCCCATTTGACCTCTCTCTGTACCTCCCATGATGGGGAGTTCACCGGGTCCCATTTCTGTGTTTCAGGCTGGACCTGTCAGGATGACTGTAAGTATGAGTGTATGTGGGTCACTGTTGGCCTCTACCTCAAGGAAGGTCACAAAGTGCCTCAGTTCCATGGCAAGGTGAGTTGGAGGGTCGTGGTAGGTATATGGTATATGGTGACAGTGCTATAGGAGAAAGATACCCCTGAGTCAGGCAGTCTGAGCTGGGGGGTGATACGGGTTGGTGTTTAGGGCCAGTGCTTATTCTCAGAATCTCTGGTTTTCATATTATCAGATGGAATCAGTGAGTCTTGGCTCTGGATTTGGACTTAGAAGGTCTGGGAAGCTGTGTGACCTCAGAGAGTGATGGTGGACTTCTTAGGGTGGCTGAATGTCCACCTTGCTACAAGAATGAATTTCCTGACCCCCCTCCCCAGCATGCTTTCTTTTGCTTCTTCAGTAGTAGTCTGGGTTAAAATAGTAATACCCCCCTCAGATTGCTAATGCTTTTTCTTTTCTTCTTCTTCTTCTTCTTTTTTTTTTTTTTTTCATTTAAACTCAGCCAATGTAGAATACATTCTTAGTTTCAGAGGTAGAGGTCAGTTATTCATCAGTCACATATAACGCCCGGTGCTCATCATGTCACGTGCCCTACTTAATGCCTATCACCCCGTTTCCCCATCCCCTGACCCCCTCCCCTGCTACTGCTTTGTCACCCAATATGACCTTATTCTAGACTGTTGAGGTTGACAAGAATAATTCTCCCCAGTTTGTCAGAATAAGGCTCAGAGGCCTGTGGTCAGTGGTAGAAGAAGGACAGATTAGGACCTCAGGTTTCTGGATGGCGAGTCTATGCTCTTTCCACCAGGCCATACTGAGCCACTTACACTGGCCCGCCTGGTCTTCCCAGAGACCAGGCTTACAGTGCTGTGAATGCTGGCTGGCACAGAGGGAGGACCTTCAGCTGGGGCCTGGAGGAGAGCGCAATGACCCAAACAGGGACTGGACCTGAAGCTTTGGCCAAGGTCCAGAGCTAAGGAACCAGCTGAAGACCTGTTGATGTGGCATGTCAAGGAAAAGCAGGTCGGGCTGGCTGGGGGTTGCTTGCCCTTCAGGCCCCCTCCATGTGCTCCCTTTTCAGTGGCCCTTCTCCCGGTTCCTGTTCTTCCAAGAGCCAGCTTCTGCCATGGCCTCTTTCCTCAACGGTTTGGCCAGCCTGGTGATGCTGTGCCGCTACTACACCTCCGTGCCAGCCTCCTCCCCCATGTATCCCACCTGCGTGGCCTTCGCCTGGGTAGGTAACTTGCTGGGACTCCTGCCCTACACCCTCATCTAGGAAGGAGGAACTCTTCGATCCCCGTTCTCACCCAACAGGGCTTGCCTTCCCCTGCCTTCCTCTGTGTTTTCCAGGTCAAAAACTGCAGCTGTGGGTGCTTAGGTCTAGGGAGAAAACAGGGAGGTGCTGGATCAGACCTTACCTTTCTAGCAGAGTCCTAGGCCAGGCTGTTTGTGGGGGAGGGAAGGAGGAAGAGAGGGAGGGAGGGAGGAGAGAATTTTGTCCTGAGGGCAGAAGCCACTAAGAGACCCAGTAGGGCAGTTTACAAGCACAGAAGGGACATGCGTGGTAGGGAGCATGCTTGTAGGGACCCCTCTGGACGAGTCCAAGCAACCCTCAGTCCCAGCCCAGGCCTGGAGGTACGGCAGACACAGGACTCCACGCAGAGCTCAGCCTGGTCTTAGACCCTCCTGGAGAAACTGAAATATGTCCCATGTGAGTTTCCAGAGCAGTCTTGGAGCTTCACAGTGCAACTGGGCAGAGGAGCCAGCATCAAGGGCCTGGAATCATGTGAGAAGCACAGACTAGGGTACAGCTCTGCACTGTGACGACCTTGGGGAGGGTGTGAGAGTAAGAGGCTGCCCTCAGAACCCCCACTGTAAGCTTCTGTGTTCACTCACCTGCCTGCCACCAAAGCATCCATTCATTTGTGTATTGAGTACCTCCCATGTGCCCAGCACTCAGGTGAGTGCTGGAGATCCAAAAGTATATAAAAACAGGGGGCATCTGCCTGGCTCAGTCGGAGAGCATGCCAACTCTTAATCTCAGGGTCCTGAATTCAAGTCCCACGTTGGGTGTAGAGCTTACTTAAAAAGACAAAGCAAGAAAAGCAAAAACAGGTTCCCGCCCTCCAGTCCTAACCACACAAGCACACAACTGAAGGTAAAACTGTAGGGGCATGTGAGGGGGCACTGGACCAGACCAGTACGAGGCAGTCAGGGAGGGCTTCCGGGAGGACGGGGCCCTGGAAGTAAGATCAGGATGATGAATGACTGTTAGCTAGGTGAATTCAGGGAGAGTAGGAGGAGTCATCTACACAGAAGATGCAGAATGTGCACACACAGAAGAGAGTGAGAACCTGAAAGGCCGGGAGGCCTGCCATGCTGGAAGCCAGAGAGTGGGTGCGAGACAGGTGGCAGGTGGGCAGGGAAGGGGGCCAGCCCGTGGAGAGCCTGGGGGCACATTAACACTTTCGATCTTGACTCTCTCGAAGCCTCAGGAAGCCCTGAGGGTTGAAGAGGAGAGGTTTCAGGAGTAGATTTGCTTGGAAAGCTCATTTTCTGGCTATTGTGGTAGCAAATAGATTAGAGGGGTGGGAGTGGTTGCAGAGCCTAGTAAGCAGAGGGGCAGAAGGTGGGGGAAGTGGGATCCCCTTGGAAAGGTCAGCGGGGCACAGTGTGGCTGGGTGGAGAGGAGAGGAGGGAGAGGTAAGATGGCACAGAGAGGCCCCGAGTGCTGGGGGGCAGGGATGCTTGTGTAGGCCGGGGCCTGGCATCTTCTTACCCTGTCCTGGCCATGGGTGGCCTGGAACCACCACTTCCTGTTTAGGCCGCTCTCAGAGGAGGGAGTTTGGTCCTGGCCAAGAAAGCAGGAAGGGCAGAGAAATCAAGGAGGGTACACCTGTCTCCTTTCCCTGGGGGTTCTTCCAGGGTCACTGCTGTCTGAGCCCACAGCCTGCACCCCCTGCCCCCACCCCTACTAAAGAGCGCTGGACAGCCCTGCCTGACCTCTCTGAACAAAGCTGAGTGCCGCCTTGGATAGACCCATGGGTCTGGGGGGAACTCAGAGGGTCCCAGCCTTTGCCTGAGGTCACGTCACAACTCTCGTCTTGATCTCCCTGATTCTTGGTCTTTGATCTCTCTGGTATCTGCCGCTCAGCTTCCCTCTCGGGGAGGGTCAGGCCTTCTGGTATCCCGCAGTCCAGTCTACTGAGGACACTTAGGGACAGAGCAGGAGATGTTAGGTTGAGAGAGGGCAGATACCTGGGGACATCTTACAGGATATGGGGTTCTGGAACATGGAACCCCCACATGCTGGCACTAGGTCCTCGAGGGAACGAGTGTCGGTGCCCACACTCCCTTTGATTTTACACTTGATCTTTATACTTGATCTTTGGTCCTGTGTGCCCGTGTTTACGGGAGGGAGGGATCCTGAGCTGAATGGAGGGTGTGGCGGTGGACTTTGTCTAGGGCTGGGTCTTCTGGAGTGAGCGAGGCTCCTGATTGCTGTTGGGGTAGGATCGGAAGGCCTTTTCCAGGTTAAGTCTTGGGAGAATTTTCTCTGTCTTTTCCCCTGGGAAATGAGGAGCTGCTCCCCCAGCAGGGCTGGCGAAGCTTTGGCACAAGGGAGTAATCTCTGCCTTGACGTCTGGTCCTGGCTTGGGCTGGACATCAGCCAGGCTTTGGGAGAGCCTGCCAGAGCTCTTTGACTTCTGGAAACTAGGGGTGCCTGCTCTCTGCAAAGCCAGGAGGCCAAACCAGTTCCCCACCTTTCGTCTAGTAAGGAAAGGTCCTTAGAAGTAGAGGGGAGGGAGAGAATGAGGGGCCAGGAGAGCCCAGACTGTCCCTGCAGGTTGATGGATGGAGGTGGGGACTGACTGTGTTCTGCCTCTGCTGCAGAAACCACGAGAAGAGACAGGTTGAGCCTGCAGCAGAATGATGGTTAGACTTCAGGAAGGACTTCCCACTGGTCAAACAGGAGCCAGTGCAACAGACAAAGGCAGGAAATCAAGGAATCCTTTTTGATGGTGGAAAAAGCTATCTTCCCCCCCCATCTCATCCGCCTCTTCCCCTCTTCCCTCTAAAGAGGGAGGTGGGGCAGGGTTGCTCTGCTTGAGGTAGGGGGCGAGACACTGTGGCCTGTTGGAGGGGGAGAGGCCAGGATGGCAGCAGGCATCATATTTAACATTCTGCCTCCCCCACTTCTGAGACACCAAGCTATTTAAAGAGCCACATGTCCCCACCGTCACGGTATCAGTGACAAGCCCCGAGCACTGGGGCTTAGCACTGGGGTCAAATTCCTGACAGATCTGGCTCATTTGGCATCCAACCAGTTTCACGGCTGTGATATATTTGTCTCAATTTTCTTATTTTCCGACAGACTGAAACAGCCTCCTGCTCTCCCTCCCGGAGCTTTCCCTGTCCCCCTCCATTCCCACCCTTGTTGGCACCCTGCCCCTGGCCTCCCCCTTTCCTCAGTGTTTACACAAAGCTCCCAATGCCTGCTGGGCAGCCCAGCGCCTTCCCGGCCTGGCTGGTTGGCCGGTTACCATCGCCCCCTCCCACTTCTACCCAAGCTTGGCGGAAGAGTCCGGGAGCAGCCACACACTTGGGTCTCTTGGAGCCTCTCCCTTCCTTCCATGTCTGTCTGTCCTTTTCACTTGAGTCTTGATTACAAACTCCGCGTGAAAAGAAATAGTATCTCTTCCGTGAATCCTAGGGGAGACTGACATTTAGGGACCCATTGTGTGCCAGTGGCTACAGCAGCACCCGTCCAACGAGCGGCTTCTCTCTGCCAGGCATTCTGCAGACAGCATCTTCAGGTCCCTTTCGTGCACTGAGTATCTTTCTTAAGCCGCTCTGGTAGATGAGACAGCTGAAACTCAAGAGATTTTATTGGTTCAAGATCACAGAGCTATTTAGGGACTGAGGCAGAACTTGAACTCAGGGCCCATCTTATTATGGAGGCTGTGGACATTCTGCCTCCAGCATGAACAGTTTTGGGGGAGGGGTCACCACGGGGAGATCACCTCTTTTCTTCACCTGGACTTCTCTGGCCTTTGGGGAGAGCGGAAGGCAGACTTGGCCTCTTTGGCCTCAAGTCTGTGGAGAGATGTGAGGGTCCCATTCTGGTCAACAAATTGGGAAGAAATGCCCCATCATGTTTGACCTGTCCTGGGCTGTACACTGCACTTGTATCGCTCATTAAATCCTTGTGAACACTATGATCATTCCCATTTTACAGATGAGAAAACAGGGGCCAGCAAGGCTAAATAACTTGCCCAAGGACACATGGGAAATGCAGGGCCAGGATTTGAACCCTGGCACCCTAACCTTGGGGGCTGCATTTTTTTTTTAAGATTTTATTTATTTATTTGACAGAGAGAGATCACAAGTAGGTAGAGAGGCAGGCAGAGAGGAGGAAGCAGGCTCCCCCCCACTGAGCAGAGAGCCTGATGTGGGGCTCGATCCCAGGACCCTGAGATCATGACCTGAGCCGAAGGCAGAGGCTTAACCCACTGAGCCACCCAGGTGCCCCGGGGGGTTGCATTCTTAATGAAACTTCTCTCCCAAGTCCGAGGAGAAGGTCAGAAGAGGAGTCCCTCATAATGGGACAGGGTCCAGGGGAGAAAGGACTTTTCAGGGGTGCAGAGTCCAGGCTTCAGGTGGGTGTCTGTAAGTGGAAGGCCCCCTGGAGAGGCAGTTGAACAGGGCAGCAGGCGGCTCTCACTCTGTTGGTGGAGCTAAGCCCTGGTCCCATGCTGTCCCCCAGCCCAAGAACGACCACTTAGCTCAGTCCTCTTGTCACCTCTCCCTTTCTGCTGTGGGTGACAGGGAGGCCTGGTTGGTTGCCAGTCCCTGCCACCTTCCCCTTCACCTCCCTCTCCTACTGGCTCCATGGCCACTGTCCTCCCTGAGGGCATCCCTATTTCTGACCTGCCCTGGGGCCCTGCCTCCAGCCCAAGTCTCCTCCTCTCCCCACGCTGATCCTGAGCCTCACAGACCTTTTGGGAGCAGTGTCTGAGAAGCCACTCCATGCTGTCCCTGCCTCCAGGCCATGCCTCTTATACCATCTCTGGGGAAGGGTCATGGGGACTGGATGGCCATCTTCCAAAGAGCACGCAGCCTGGCATGGAATAGTCCCCCGATGTTGGGGCTGGAGAGGGAGGAAGGGTCACTTAGGTTAGGCCCTGATGAGTCACAGGAGGAAGCTCAGGCCGAGGGCAGGGCCTTTGTCCAGGTCATGGGGAGCATAAGCTGAGAGAGAGACTCAGCCTAGGACCCAGGCCAGACAGGCTCGCATGGGGCTACCTGAGCCTCCAGAGACTTCTACTACTGACTGCCTTTGCAGAGAGCCTGGCCTGCCGCCACCCCTTTGCTTTTCCCGTGCTCTCATAAACCCCTTTGGGCCTGCAGTAAGGGACCCATCCTGCCGCCTGGCCTTCCTGCTGCGGGACTGGGTGGAGAGGCCTCCTCCCTGCCAGTTTTCCTTCTGTCCTGGACCCAAACGAGCAGCTCCTGGCCTTCACCCATCTCAGGCAGGCTTGTTCCCGGCCTCAAGGGCAGGGCACCCCTCCCTATCTTCAGTGCATCCCAGGCCAGACCTCTCGCTGCCTGTTTTTCCCTTTGATGGGCTGTCCCTGGTTTCCCAGTGTAGGAGCCTCCCCACCCACCCCCGAGCCCACCCTTTTCTCCATGATCTGGGCATCCACCATGGGTACCGCCCCAGCTCCCACAAGATCTAGGATTCATTTGCAAGAGGTTTTGTGCTGTCTCCTTGCAGTTTATTTCCAGGGGAAAGGCCCCAGACGTGCTCCTGGGCCCGTGCCCACCACAGCCCCTCCAGCCTTCCGCTCCTCCCAGAGCTTGGGAGCAGCAGACACTGGTCTGGCGGGTTGGGCCGGCCCACCCAGGAGGAAGCTGGGCTCCCCGGGCCAGCCTCCTCCGTAGAGACTTGGCCCCAGTGGGATCAGCTCGATCTCCCTGCCTTGCTTGCTTTGCTCCAGACACGCCCCAAGCTGGCTCGAGCCCCTCCACCCCACCCACTTCATTCCCGCCCCCAGAGGCTGAGGTCACCAGCTCCCCTGGCCCGGGCGGGGCTGTCATCACCTGCCGGTTCGGGGAGGAGGCGAGGCCCCCCGGGGGCTGTTGTCTTAGTGATTGAGTAAGCAGGGAACTTGGCTCTGCCAGAACTGGTTCCTAGGCCAGGCCGGAACCTGTGGAGGCCCCATCCCCCGTGGCCTGGGGGTCAGGGCTGCAGCCGGCTGAGGGCACTGTTTGGTTGGGAGGGGGGGCTTTGGAGGCAGAGGGAAGCATATTTCTGTGCTCCAGAGTGAGACCCATGTGGGTGCCCTAGGGCTTCTCCCCAGCTCAGGACACCGTGCTTACTAGCCCCTCCCTGCAGGTTTCCCTCAATGCTTGGTTCTGGTCCACAGTCTTCCACACCAAGGACACCGACCTCACAGAGGTGAGCACCCCTCCTGCTCCCCCTCCTGTGTGGGGCAGTCCCAAAGGACCCCAGAAGGGGTTGAGGTCTCTTAGGTTTCCTAGGGACTCCGATCACAGAGCCCTCTTGCTCCGCCCCAGGCCCTTTTAACCTCTTCGTGCACCTGCGCCTCCCTTGACCCTTGGGAGGCAGGTGTGAGCACTGGCTCTTAACTGATGAGGCAGCTGAACCTTGGAAAGGCCCAATGGCCTGCCCAAGGTCCCCCAGCCAATGAGGGAGCCACCGGGACCTGGGCCCACAGCTGTGGGACTCACCTGCGCTCTGCTTTCTGTGGCGTCCTGGAGCCCTGGTAGGCACCTCCCCAATGCCCCCAAAGCCTTGCTGCTGTGGACATTTTAACAAGTTCTATAATGTGACTACAGGGATCTGACCATTAAATTCAGGAGTGAAACAGCGACAGACAGAGGGAGCGCGAGACATTGACACCATCCCCCAGCACCCCCGCCCCGTCACATAGGCCTAGGACTTCCAGACAGTGCCTCTGCCGCCCCACCTGGCCCCCTGTGCCCCATCGGTGCTGGGTCCTCTCGGGGCCCTGCCCACCTCCCCCTCCCTTCACACTGGCCCCTCATCCAGCTCTCTCTGTCCTCAGAAAATGGATTACTTCTGTGCCTCCACCGTCATCCTACACTCCGTCTATCTGTGCTGTGTCAGGTGAGCCCATCCTGGCCCCAGTAGGAGCAAAAACAGGCACGGGGGGTGGGGGTGGGGGGGAGGGGGCAGAACCGGGTGGCCTCACCCATCCCTAGGGGTGTTTCCCCCCGGGGCCTTGCAGCCCAGCACACGCATGCACATGCACACACACACCCTCCCGGCTGCTCTGGATGGGGACTCTGGGGTAGAGCGAGGGGCCCTGACTCTTTCCAAGGAGCAGTTGCATTTGGTCCCAGGCCCCTGGAGGAGGAGGGCAGTGGCTTCCCCATACTGACGCCAGGGTGAAGGGCTGCGTAGGGAAGGCTGCTCTGGGCACGGGCCACCCTCCACCTGAGCAGCTCTGGATGGCGGGGCAGGACCGTGGGGCTGCAGCACCCAGCCGTGGTCAGCGCCTTCCGGGCCCTCCTGCTGCTGATGCTGACGGCGCATGTCTCCTACCTGAGCCTCGTCCGTTTCGACTATGGCTACAACCTGGCGGCCAATGTGGCTATTGGTGAGGCAGGAGGAGGGACTGAGGCCCCGAGAGGTTGTGGGGAAAGGGGGGCACTTGGACCACGTGTAAAACTGCTGGCCTGGGGTGCAGGAAGGGATTTGGTGGTGTTCCTAGAGAAGGTTCTAGAGAGGCTCTTAGGGTGGGGGAGGGGGAAAGAACTTGGGGTGGGAGAGGGGAGGCTGGGAGGAGAGTCGGAAGATGGTCCTGGGGTCAAAGAGCATGAGGACAGGGGAGGCTTTGTGGGGGGCGGGGCAGAGGGAGGTGCAGGCAGTGAGCCTCTCCCCACCCCCACCCGTGCGCAGGCCTGGTGAACGTGGTGTGGTGGCTGGCCTGGTGCCTGCGGAACCAGCATCGGCTGCCTCACGTCCGCAAGTGCATGGTGGTGGTCCTGCTGCTACAGGGCCTGTCCCTGCTCGAGCTGCTCGACTTCCCGCCTTTCTTCTGGGTCCTGGATGCCCACGCCATCTGGCACATCAGTACCATCCCTGTCCATGTCCTCTTCTTCAGGTGGGTGCTACTCGCCGCCCAGTGGGCCCCTTGTTTGTGTCCATCCTCACTGGCTTCTTGGAGGAGACTAAGGCCTCTGTGCACGGTTCACCCCCTGCTGGCTTGCCCATGCTCTCCCCCACGGGGTGCTTTCAAAGCCAGACCTCAGCGGGCTCCTCCCTCTGCCCACAGCTTTCTGAAAGATGACAGCCTGTATCTGCTGAAGGAATCAGAGACCAAGTTCAAGCTGGACTGAAGGCCCTGGGAGTGGGTTCGCCCTGCTGGGGATCCTGCCCTCTCCCTGCTGGCTCCCCTTCTCCCCAGAATCCTTGAGACGATTTTTGTCTTTTAGCATCTTGAATTTGGACATGAAGGGTATGGGCCCAGAATCATGTAACTGCCCATCACCTCACTTGCCCCGACATGGCCCTCACAGATCTCAGGTTCTGTTCAGGCTTGGCCTGTCAGCATCTGGGGTTGGAGCATGGGCAGCACCTCTGGTTCCTGGAGAACTGGAATGGAACTGTGTTCTTAGCTCCGCTGAGAGGGGAGCTGCCTCTGCTTCCCCGTCAACCTCTTCCTCACATCCCTCAACGCCTGGGTGCTTCCCACACCTGTCTGTCTAGCTGGGAGACAGGCCTTTGGGAACACAGCGGGGGTCCCCCCCTCTCTTACCCCTGCCCTCCTTCAGGGCACCACTAGGTGGCAATAGACTCTTGCTCTTTGGCTGCCCAAGTTTCCTGGCAGGTCTCCTCCCCATGGGATCTTGAGGGACCAAGCTGCTGAGATTGGCAAGTGGTCTCGTCCCGACTGTTGCCTCAGCCAGACCCCCAGAAGAACTCACTGCATTCCGCCTTTGGGGCCAGAACCCCAGAGAGCCCAGGACAGGAGTCCCTGTGGCTCCTTGGCTGGTCTCCTGGTCAGAAGCCTGCACATGAATGTGTAAGGGAGTGTGAGCTAGACTGAGCGCATGCATAGGTGACAGGGTGGCGGGCACAGACCTGAGTGTGTGGGATGGTGGGTGGGACAGTGGGTGTGAGCACGTGTGGAGAGTGGGGAGGGCTGTGAGTGGTTTGAAAGTGTGTGTTGCAGGACAGGTGGGTGAGTGTGGGGCAGGGCAGTTTGCAGAGACTGGGGGTGAGGTGAGTGTGAGTGCCGTGGGTGTGCCACGTGGCGGCGTGGGGGGGGTTTGGAGGAAAACAGGTGCTCTGGTCACCTGTCTACTGCATGCAGCTCCGCACAGAGCCCCAGGCCAGGCCGAGAGCCCGGACGTCCTCAGGGGCTGGCTCGGTGGGGTTCGGCTGTCCAGACTGCATGTGGGTCTTCCTGTCTGTTGCCCCCACTTTACAGTCGCCCTCCAGATCTCAGAGGACCCACACACAACTCAAATCACCCTCCAGAACCAGCCTCTCGGGAGGCCGAGGGAGGAAGGGCCTCTCCGGCCTTCCTGTCCGTCTCCTCTCCTAGGCTTGGTTGGCCTCCCCCTCTCCCCATGCCCTCCCTGCTAAGCCTCTCTGTCACAGACTGGACCTTGGGGGGCAATCTGAGGGAGAAGCGGCGAAGGCCTGTGGCTGGGTCTGGTTTCTGGCCTTTCCAGAGGCAGGCAGGGGCCATGCTGTATCTGTACCCCAGTAAAGGTGACCCCTGCTAGCTGCCGGCAGCCTGAGTACATTCTTGCTCCGCAAGGATAGCATGTGGTGCTCCAGAAACTTTCCATCCAAAGGCAGTCTCTGTGATTGGAGCAGGGAATCTGGATTCTTGTTCTTTCCCAACCCCCTTGTCCCTCCCTGGGGTGTAGAGGTGCTGTGCTAGGACTCCAGCCGCAGACTTGGGTGGCCTGTGTTTCTTTTGATATTGAGAACTATTTTAAGATAGGAGGGTAGCAAGGGACATTCTTAATAAACCAATTCTCAGCCTCACCTACCCTTGTTTAGCTCCTTTGTGTGAGTAGTGTGGGCCAGAGGGAAGGAGCACACAGCTGGCTGGAGGCAGTAGGCAGGTGGGGTCTCTACCTAGGCACGTGGAGGTGGGGATGGCAGGGAGCGGATGCAGAGCTGGGGGGAGTGCTCTGGGGGAGGGAACTGGTGCCTGGATTGTCACTCCCCCCCCCTGTACTCTCTACTCAGTCTCCTGATTATCCCTCTCTCCTCCCCTTCTGGTCTAAACTAGGCTCTGCTGCTGTTTGTTACTTAACCTTTCTTAGCTTCACCTGCAAACAAGACAACAGGACCTGCTGAGTGTGAGGACTAGTGTGCCTGGCACACAGCAGATGCTGAACGAGCTCCCTCTGGCCTTGGCTTTCCTTAGTTTGGGAAGAATGAGTGGTAAAGAAACCTGTCATGGAAGCTTCTGGAAAAAAAAGGCTAGGGTTGGTGGCTTCCACAGCCCCACAAGCCCAGAGAGAGCCACAGACAAAGCTGATGCTCAGCAGGAGGAATTTCTTTATTATGTGCCACCTCACATCACAGGGGATCTGGGTGCACTGGGCCATCACACCGCCACCTTCTTCTGGGCCCAGGCGAAGAAGATGCCCTTGACATCATCTACCCCTGTCTGAAGGCAGGCAGGCATGACGTAGGTGCTCAGGTCCCGCACCTCATAGCCGCTGCGGACCAAGGCCTCCATGACCTCCTCCTTCCCCATGGGCACCACCGCCAGCCTGGCCTCCCCAGCCAGGTACCATGACTCCTCCAGGGCCCCGATGAGGAGGAGGTGCCCCCCAGGCCTCAGCAGGGTGGTGATGTGGTCCAGGGCCCTCTGGAAGCTGGCAAGGTCCGGGCTCACAGCCTCCAAGCAGAAGGTAGAGACCAGGGCATCGGCAGGCAGGGGCGCTGGGCTCCCAGCACCCAGTGGCTGGGGCTGGTGCACATCAATATGCAAGATCCGCTTCACCCTGGCTCGCAGCTGGAGCTCCTTCTCCTGCCAGGACTCCCTGTACCAGGGCAGGACCAGGGCTCAGGGCCACCCCATGCTCAGTCCTCGGTTGCCCCCCACCCGCGCTGCATGGGCAACCCCCTTACCCCTTGCCCTCGATGAGGCAGACGTGCCGACTATAGGTGCTCCAGTCGAAGGCGCCTGGCTCCTCCCGCAGCCAGAGCCCTAGCTCCTGGCGGTTCACCTCCAGAAAATCTGTCAGGGTGATGTCCTCAAAGTGGGCGCAGGCGCTGAGCAGCTGGTATATGGTAGGGCCTGAACCAATGTCAATGAGGCTGTGTCCTGACACCTCACCTGGAGTGGGGGGCAGTGGAGGAGGGTCCTGTGCCAGCCCTGTCCAGGCTCCCCCGCCTCAGTCCCTCCCTCCCTCACTGGCTTCTCCCAGTTGTTCTCCCTTCCTCCAGAAGTGTGCCTCTCTCTGGAAAAAGCATTAGCTAACCTGGGTCTGAGTCCTGGCCCTGACGCCGACTGGCCGACTTTGGGAAAGGGACTGAACCCCTCTGAGATTCAGTTCCACATCTGTACGACTGTCCCTACCTGTGAGGCTTAGGTGGGGAAGTCCTGAGGTCCCTGGCAGTTCAACCAGGGGCCTCTCTTCCCTCTCCCATCTCCTCCTCCCTCTCTGTCTCAGGAGGTCTCTGGGGTCTCTTTCCTGCATCTGCTATTTCACCTCTCAATGCCTTCTCCACGGGTCTCTCCTCTGCGCCCTAAGAGATACTGCTTCTCTTCCTCTTCTATTTTCACCTCTTAACAGTCTATCGCTGCTTCTTGGTTCCCATAGGGCTCGCGCATGTATCCCTGTTTAGCTCCCCGATGCCTTCTTGTCCTCTGGGCCTCAGTTTCCCCGCGCTCACCCGTGGCGAAGGTCTGCGCCAAGCAGCGCAGCTTCCAAGGCCCGACGCCATCCGGGTGGCTCAGGTCCCCCCGAGGGGGCGCGTAGTTGTTGCGGAGGTAGGCGCGGGGCTCGAAGCGCTGGTAGGCGGAGGCGACGGCCGCCGGGCCCGGGTCCGAGTCCGGGGCCGAGTCCGGGGCCGTGCCCGCAGCGGGATTCAGGTCTGCCTTGCTCATGCCGCCGCCGTCGTCCGCGCTGTCCTCTCTCGCCTCGCGGCCCCTTTATCTGCTGTGCGACTCCCCGCCCGACCCTCCGCTGCGGGGGCGGCGGCCGCGCCAGGAGCCGCCCGGGGCTCGGCGCTGCATCTCCCCTACCCCATCCATCTCCCTTAGTGTCCGAGCAGCAGACACTCGGGGCGCGTGGGGGGCGGCCCGGGCCTGCCTGCCACACCCCACACCCCACACCCCCCGGCCCCGCAGCTGCTCCCGCCCCCCCCCCTTTTGCCTCACCGGTCCAAGCCAGCTCCGTGCCCCCAGGACCCTTAGATCCCTGTCCCGCGGGTCCGCAGCTCCTCCCGTCGCTCTCCGCCGGCTCCCCAGCCATTCATTCACCCGCTTCCCCCACCACCCCATCCTTTCTCTCTGGCCAGGGTTCGAATTAGCCCCCTCCCCGCGCCCTCGTCCCCGACCCCGGGCCCAGCCCCTGCCCCGGGCTCTCCTTCCTCAGGGACATCCCGTCCAACATCCACACCTTTCCCTGGTTAGGTCACCTCAACTGCACCCCCCACCCGTCGCCCCTCCTCCAGCCCTTTTCCGTCCTTTCCTACCAACCCCTGTCCCCCAGGGCCCTTCACCCCCACCCGGGAAAGGACAGTCCGTTCTGGCCTCTGTTGCGGTCGCCCCAGGGCCCCAGAGCGGAGCTCCAGCCCCGCCCGTCCGATGGCATCGGCGATAGGGGATGTGAGCGGAGCTAATGCCCTTAACCAGCGGTACAGCAGGGCCTCCCCGCGGCCCCTGCGGGCTCGGAGCCGCTTATCTGGGGGCTTCCGAGTCCGAGAGCAGAAGGCTCGGGTGGTTCTGGCCACGGCCTTGTCCCGGTTGCGTGACCGTGGGGAGGGCGGAGGGTGCAGGCGTTCTCCCGGTGTCCCTGGGCCCCAGAGGGCGCAGGCTGGGCTTTCTGCACCAAGGGATTTAGGGTTACATCAGTCTAGGGTCTCTGACCCCTCTCCTCCCCAGTCCACACTGCATTCCCCTCTTGGGGAGGGGCCCAGCCCAGGTCTGCAGGTCCTGCTTGGCACTACAGGTCAAGATGCCAGGGTCTTCCCTCCTATTCCCCGAGATGGGAGGTGGATTCCATGGGGCCGTCTCCGTGGTCTTCCTGGAGTTGGACTGCTCCAGGCCAGTCCACTGTCGCTCTGCCCTGGGGAGGCTACCAGCCCCTGTCCAGATGGGCCCTTAGCCTCTTCTGTGCCCTCACCTGTGTGCCTTCCCTGGCCCCCACCTTGTCCCAAGGGGAACGTGTCTCCTTGTTGACCCAGCCGACCAGACTGGGACAGGAGTCACAGCAGCTGTGGGGGTCACAGACAATAACCTGAGCCTCCACTCCCCACAACCCGCCCTGGGCTCCCTGGGCAGGGAGGGTAGAGTGCCTGACCCCCACCAAGGATTGATTCTATCTGGGTTCAGGTCTGAAACGCAGGTCAGCCTTGGGGTCAATGACCCCATTCATACCCTTAGGTACAGCCAAGGACAGTCCTGGTGCCAGCCCCCTCCATCTACTCCATGAAATCATTTAAGCAGGCCCTGGATGCCAGCTGGCCTGCTGGGCACTGCCCAGTGCCAGGGGACTGAACACAGAGGCCAGGCACTGACAGCAGACCCACGCTGGACAGACACCCTGTTTACAGCTCTGTCCCGTCTCCCCCACCCCCACCCAGCATGAAGTGTACCCACTAGCTCTGCCATATTTAGCTCAGATGCAAGGCTTATTCCCAGAAGTGAGGGGGGGGTAGCGGACACCAATGGGCTGGCCCCCACAAGGAAAGAGACTGGAACAAGAAAAGTCTGGAACACAACTGAGCGTTTATTGCAGCGCTAACAGAGGATGCTGGGGGCTCCACTCTGCCTCTGCCTTCTTCACATCCCCCTCACTCCAGTCTCCTCCAAGCCTCCTTCCTAGAGCATTCCAGATCCCCTTTTCCTCGTCCTTCTCTGAAGCTGGAGCCCGGACCAGGGTCACTCCCCTCGGGGACCTCTGTCCTCACCAGCATCTTTTGTCCTTTCTCCTGGGGCTGGGGATGTTTGGCTGTGCCAGCCCCCAGCTCTCCAGCCTTTGTGCCCACTGTCTTTGCTCCCCTCCCTTTGGGAACTCAGGGGACCCAGGCATCCTGGCCTCTGGTTCCCCCCTCCCCTAGCCCCCAACTCTGGGCAAACTACAAAGCATCCATGGCCAGCAGCTCCCCTCCATGGTACTAGCCAGGAAGGGCCCAGCCCACGGCAGGCACATTAGAGCCCGAGTCACCGTCTGTCTCAGCCTCTCTGTGCTTCCTGGGACATGGAGCGGGACAGGGAGCGACGCAGGGCGCCAGGCTTGCTGACAGGCACCACAGGGGGCAGCTGCTTGGTGATCTCGGCCACGTCCTGGCGTTCCACACACTGGCCACCCAGGGCTGTCTCCAGTGCCAGCAGCTCCTGCAGCTGGGTGGGGGTGTCCTCGCGCTCCTCCTTGGTGGCACCCATCTTGGCGGGGCTGAAGATGGGCAGTGGCAGCACGCGCTGGTAGGGCAGCAGATACTCCTGCAGCCCGTGCCCGAGGAGGCCCATCCGCATCACCAACCAGGGAGAGCGCTGCACCAGCGCCTGGCACTGGCCCTGCCGGTGGTAGGTCTCATGCCGCTCGGTGTCCTCCTCATGCAGAGAGCAACTGGGGAGGAGAGGGCAAGGTGGTACCGAGCTCCTGAGATGTGCTACCCTCCAGTCCTGAGCGGGGCAGGGGGCTCCCTGGGGCTTGCCAGGTCCTGGGGTGCAGAGTGACTCCACTCTCCCCACTGGGACCTCTCCTAGTCCCCACTCCCCAGAAACTTCTGCAGGGCTTTGTGCTCTGGTCTCCTGGGGCTCAGGAGAGGTGTTCTCAGGGAGAAGGGACTCCCAGCTGCGTGGCACTCACCCCTCCTCAGGCCGCGTGGACAGTGTCAGGTCCTTCCATTCAGCCCAGAAGGCTTCTCGTCGCTCACGGTCCTCCTCGGACACCTGGCAGATCAGCTCTGCAGTGGCCATGATCAGTGCTCACTGGCTCTCAGCTCTGCTCCTCCCAGGCCCTTTAAATAGCCCCCTCCTCCACCTCCTCCAGGGGCTATTTTCAGCCCCTCTGGCGTCAGATGCTATAAGCAGAGCCAAGGCTCACCGATGAGGGACTCTGGGCCCAGGGTGGGGGTGGGGGTCCCTGGGCTCCAGCCGCCACCTGGGGTCAGCAGTTGGCTTCTAAAGAGATTAAGATGCTCCACTGGGGGCAGAGGTCCTCAGAGTGACACCTCCAGGTGTGTGACACTCCTTTGACACCATCTGAGACCAGGCACATGCCCAGCCTTGTGCCACCTTGGCATCTGCTCTCTGCCCCACCCCTTCCCTCTCGCCCAGGGAGGGTAGCGGCCTGTCTGTAAACAGAGTGGGCAGCGGCAGGAATTGAGGCCCTCTCTGGGCTCTGGACCAGGCCATCGGGTCCTGCTCCCACAGCTCTCCTCTGCCTGGGACCAAGGGCAAAGCCCCCGGGATCTGCACCAAAACCTGGTCCTCAATGGCCACCATTGCACTGGCAGAAAATGACTTGGTTAGCTCCACACCTGGGACCCCGGGCATGAGCCTTTGCCAGATGCTTTCCTTTCTGGTGGCCAGCAGTCAGAGAAATGGCTTCCCAGTGGCCAGTCAGGGTGGAAAGAGATGTGGGAGGCGGCCCCCGGCTGTCCCCAGCGACACCCCAAGGCAGGCGCAATGCAAACCCAGGGGCTCTGATGAGCGGCGGTCAGATCTGGCTCTGCCCCCAAATCAGCCATGAATAAGCCTCCGTGGCCATGGGGCAACCTCTGCCCCTCTCTGAGCCCCATTTTCTGGCCACAAAGTCCTGAGCAGCTCTACTGGGCCACCTGGGAGGGGCCTGGCTCTCCAGGGGAGCAGGACAGCTGCTGGGAAAGCCAGCACCCAAGGGGGACAGCTCATGGTGCAGGAAGCTGGCACATGGGGCGCTGGGCATGGCGCGGGGGGGGGGGGGGGACGGGGCATCGCCGAGGAGACAGACACAGCAAAGGGTGCAGGAATAGGCCATACAGGAGCTGAAATGAGACCCTTCGGGAGGTTCCCACCAGCAGCTGGGAAGGCCCGCGGGTGCCCACCTGGGGCAGAACCACATCCTCCTGATTACTGAAGCACTAGCTCTGATTCTTGCTTTTATCTCAGGATAGCCCTCTGACATAACGAGTCTCGTCTTGACAAAGTAGGATACAGAGGCCTAGAGAAGATCTGCCCAGGGTCACATACCTGGCCAGACCAAGCTAGGACGCCCTGCCCATGTCCTGGCTCCAAGCTAGCTGAGCTGCCCCCTCGGAAGCCTGCAGGCAGGGAGGGAGGAGGGAGAGAGGGAGGAGGAAGGGAGGGCAGGGATGGCTGGGATGGCGGTGGCCCTGCACTGCTCTGGCCATTGCCTGCGATCCCACTGTGCTGCCCCTGGTGAGTGTGCTGGGGCAGAGGAGGCAGGTGAGTGGAGCCAGAGAAACAGAGATCCCAGAGGTGCCTCAGTGACCCAGAAGCCCAGGCCCCACTCCCAGACTGACTGTGGGATCCCAAGGACAGTCAAGGCCTGCCACGGATGCTGCGGGGCCTCTCCCACCTCCCCCAAGTTCCTGGGCAGGAGACTTTCCACTTACCTTCCCTCCCAGGAGGCCTGGCTGAGGGCTGGGGCATTTTCCTCTGACCAGTCATCTGTCCAGTTGGACCAGTCAGGAAAGCAGGGGCCTCCCAGAATGGGGACTCCCCTTGCTCGGCCCTCCTGCCGGCTCCAGAAGGGTGTGAGAGCGGTCTGGCTCTGTCACCCCCTCCACAGTGCTGCCCCCCTTCCCTCTAGAGGCCAGGAAGGAGGGGCTGCTTTTCTTTCCTTTTTTTTTGAGTTCATTTTTAATAATTGGCTCAAATTACAAAGGTCCCCAAGGAACCCTGGGGGAGGGAGAGAAACCGGGAACGGCAGACATTCACTGCCAGCACCCGCCGACCCCACCTGCCACCCGTTCCCCAACAAGTGCATGGGAAAAAGGTCCCAGACCCTTTAAATAATCCTAAAAAAGCATGACGAGAAAGCAGGCAGATGAAGGGGCTCCTGCACCTGAATGTAGGTGACCAGGCCGCCCTGACCTCCGTCCTGCTCGGGGCCCTGGTGCTCTCCCACCAGGTCTGCCCCTCCCATTCCAGATCCTGCCCCGGGCCAGGCAGGGCATCTTGCATCTAGTCCTGGAGGCAAGGCCAGTCACTGCGTAAACATCAGCAGAGCAGACCCCACTGGCCTCGGCGGCAGAGCCCTGGCACTGGGGTGCCTGACTGCACAACTTGCTCACGGCCATGGCTCCCAGGCACAGCAAAGCATGGAGGTCAGGGGCAGCCAGGGGCCGAGGGGCTGCACCAAGAGGAAACGTCTTCCTTCCTAGTGCTTGAGGCCAGGTCCTCTGTGGGTGCCGGGAAGCCCCGCTGGCCCCCTTTCTGGCTCTGAAGGCTATGGTGACAGGACCCTGCCCTGCAGGGTGGTGAGGGGGCACAGTTATGCCCCGGCCCCCAGCTCTCCAACGCGCTGTCGCAGGTGAAAGGCAAATTCAAACATGGTGGCCGCGAGGCTCTGATGGATTAGGTACCGGGGCAGGTGGCCCTGTGGGAAGGTGGGAAGAAGTTTCGGGAAGGCCTGCCCTTAGCCAGCAGGGGTGGGGGGAGGGGGCTCCCCTGGGTCAGAGCTGCAGGTGCAGGTGCAGCTCTGGAAGGCAGCCTGACCACCCCCCCGCCTCCCCCGGCAGGAAGAACACACTGTGCCGGCTCCTGGCTCTGGCCACACAAACAGACCCAGGAGGGGCCGCCTGGCAGCCAGCCACCGCTCTGCGGGGACCGGAGAAGTGAGGGCATGTACAGGCCCTCCAGCAACTTGGGAGAGCATCTTGACCCGGCCCCCAATTTGAGCATAAGAGAGGAGGCAGAGTAGGTGAGGTCCTGAGTGTGACAGGTGACCGCCCCCAAGATCCCCCAGCAGAGTTCCAGCACCCCCACCTTAAGATCTGTATTAAGGATCCAGATGAAGGTGCAGACTCGGGGGTTACTGGCTGACTTGAGCACGATGAAGCCCCCAGGACCGTTCTCTCCCCTACGAGAAAAGCACGATTAGGGGGGCACCTTGGAGCCAGGAAAGGCCTCCGACGTGACCCCATACCCCATTCCTGGCCCATCCTGGACTGGGGTGAAAGATGGAAGGGAGCTACTGGTCTAGCTAGTCACTGCCACTGCCTGAGTAGGGCCCAGAACAGGTATCCCGGAGGCCACAGGATACAGTCCTCCACCCGCACCTTGTGAGGCCCAGCTCCCCCTTCTAATAGCCTGCGGATGTCTGCGCACCCCTGGTGGCAGCTGTGTCACCCTCTCTGTGCAGGTCTGCTAGGGCAGGGAGGGGTGGGCCATGAGTGCATTTGCGCGCATTTCTCAAATCGGTTCGCAGTACAGTGCTGGGGGGATCCAGAAGGGGGCGCCTTCCCAGGAGGAGGGCAGGGCACAACCCGTCACCGGGCAGTTCCCCCACAGCCCCACTGAGCATGCTCAAGCCCACTCTGCAGAAAGAGGCCCGCCGGTCACCCATGGGTCTGTTGTGTCAAATCTCATTTCATTGCCCAGTGCTCTCTGTGGAACCCCAAGAAGGACGGGGAGAGTGGGAAATCGGGAAGGAGGTCGGCTGCAGCACTGGGGTCTAGGGTGACAGCCAGAGACCTGGAGGATGCCCCGAGACATGGGACAGGAAGACTGAAATGCCCCTTCCTCCGTGGGGACTTCTGAGCAGTCGGGAGTTGGGGGGAGGCAAGGCAGCGGCAGGGAGGTAAAGCTCCAGGACACAGAGCCTTCCGCTCAGATCGCCTGGACCAGCGCCACCTCGTGGCTCCCAGCCCCCTTTTCTGGACTGCTCCCTGGCCTTGGGCTGTCCCTGGAGCCGCGCTGAAGGCCGTGTGGTTCCAGCCCTTAATCCCCCAGTCTCCAGGAGGCAGAGCAGATTAGCGGGCCTAGGGGCTGGGAGGGGCAGAGCCCAGCAGGACAGGGGGCTGGAAGGCAGCCTTGGCAGGACAAAGTGCCCAAAGGTCCACATTGTCCCCTACCCTGCCCTCAAAGCCACCAGGGGACGGGCCAGCCGGGATGGCTCACCTGACATATTTGTGTGTAGGGGGCCTGGTGCAGTGGGTGGTGGCAATGCCCGAGGACAGGTAGCGGTCTCTGCGTCGCTCAATGCGCCGCACGTTCACGAAGTCCCTGGGGGCGGGAGGGTTAGACGGGCGGGGAGCCAGGCCCAGGATGCAAGGGCAGGAGTCCTGCCTGAGAGGAGGGGCTTGGTGGGGCTCACCTGGGGGAGACCACCCCGCCCGCGGCCCCCGAAGAGACATCGTAGGAGATGAGAGTGTTGTTCTCTACTCGCTGCAGGATCTAAAGGCCATCAGGGGAGATGTGAGGTACAGCCCAGCCCAGGAACACCCCAAGCACAGGGTCCCAGCACCTCAGGGAACCCCCAGACCAGCCTCCTCTCTGCCCAGGTCCCTTTACTAACAGCCACTCCCAGGTCCTGGGCTGGGCTCTGTCTGCGCGCTCCCTCTCCAGGAGGCACCATTACCATCATCCCATTTTACAGACCGGGAAGCTGAGGCACAGGACAGTTCGAGGACATGGTCATGCTGGGGGATGGCTGTACCCGCCCAGCCGTGTCGCTCTGCCCTGAGGGGTGGCCAGGCTGGGCCCCCAATTGGCTCACCTGGCAGGCGGTCACGGTCTTGTTCCACAGCACCATCCTCTCGGGCTGCAGGATCACCTCCTGGTACACCAGCTCGGCAGGGCAGGGCAGGAAGGTCTGGGACAGGGCGGGCAGAGAGCTGGGTGGGGCCAGATGTGCTTGGGCACAGCAGCCCTTCCCTCTTGGTGGGGAGAAACCTGCCGGAAGGCCCCTCAGCCCCCTGCTGAAACCTCAGACAGACCAGGAGCCTCCAGGACCCCTGCTTCCCTCCCTCACCTTCAGGATGAAGGTCTTGCCGTGAAAGGGAATCTCGATGGTGTACACAGTGTCCCCATATTCCTACAGTAGAGACAGAAGGGGGACAGGGAGGTGGGAGGAGGGCAGGCAGAGTGGGCCAGTGGTGGAGGGATAGGCGCCCCAACAGGGCAGCTTTGTAACAGCTCAGGGTGGAAAACTCCAGGAGTTCAGCGATATTCAGGCAGCCGGTAAAAAAACAGTGGTTCTGACAAACATCCAGCAACAAGGAGAGAAAGGCTTTTGCTGTCACATTCAAGGACAGAAGCACAGCTGCAGTCACAACTGCGATGACCCATGTCTCCAGGCCGTCCTGGGCCGCCAGAGGGAATGGCCACACACAGGGACAGGGACGTGTCCCCTGTTCTCCAAGCTCACAGCCATCTCTTTAGAGAATGTGGTTCGGCTCATGAAACAAGACACCCAGACCACGGCCAAAGCCTGGCTTCCCCTTCGAAGCCAGAGCTGAGTGAGGAGAGCAGCAGGGGCCACGGATGGGCGCGGGCAGGGCAGCAGTCAGAGGGCGCAGTGGAAACATCCAGTCCGGCCCCACCTCCTGCTAAGCAGCGACCCCGGGGGGCCCAGCTCCCTCTCCTGGCACAGGAATAGGGTTCCAACCTGGGCCATCCCTGGGCTTCTCAGGCCTCAGAAAAGCAAGCAAACTCTCAACACACATGGGCAGGTCAGATGGGAGAGAGTTTCCTTACATTGTTCTTCTCAAACTTCCAGTTCTCCTCCTGAGCCAAGATCTGGTCCACCACAGCCATGGCCTCCTTCCCCTGATGGATGTATTCCCGTTCCTGGCCAAGGAGGAGAGGCAGGAAGGGATCACCCTGGGGCTTGCCCACCACCTGCTTTGTGGCCAGTTCCTTCTCCACATACTCCATACCCACAGAGTCTGGGTTGGTCTCTCGGGCCCCATGGGGGCCCCAGGTGCTGTGGCTGAACCGCTCCCCTCTGGGCCCCAGGTGTGAGCCGGCCCAGCGGGCCTGACTGACGGTGGGGCAGACACTCAGGGGCACCCTGACTGGCACTCAGGCTGCCTGAGGTCCACCCTCTTCAGGGAAGCCCCTTCCCACTTCGGCTTGAGCCCAGCACTGGCACCTTCTCCAGGGGGGGTTGCCCACTCCAAAGATCGGGTGGGGGCGGGGAGCCAAATACCTGGGCAGAGAAGCTTCTCTTCCCAATGTCTTCATCAGATTCGTTGTCAGACCCTTTGGAAAACAAGCACAGATGACAACAGGAAGGTGTGGGGACAGACTGTGAGGAGGTGGTGGGGTACAAGACTGCAGGGGGACAGATAGGGAGAGGGGTGCTCGCCTTCCCCAGGGACCTGAGAGAAGGAACAGAACAAACAGACCCAGCCAACCCACTCCTGATGAAGACCCCCGCTGAAGGAGTTTCCCACCCACCGGCCCTCACCTGCAAAGGATTCTGGGGGTGAATAGAACTGGCCCTCAGACAGAGCGCCAGGGAAGAGCAGGGGTCCACGGGCGACAGCAGCCTGGGCAGCAAGGTACCCTGGGGGAGCAAACACAGGCAGCCATTGTCCCAGAACAAGGGCAGCCATGCCTTAGCAGCCTGGGGTCCCCCCACTCCAAGCTCACCCTCAGGCTCCGGGAGGCTGTTCAGAGTTGCCAAGATAGCTCCGAACTGGCTCTCATGCCCGAAACTCTCCACTCTTGGGGCTGCGATGACCCTCCCTGCACCCCTTCCCCAGGACTCACATCGTTCCTCCTCGGCCTCCTGTGGCAGGACTTTGAAGTCAAGGAACCAGGTCTCCAGCCAGGCAAGGACAAAGGAGACGATAGGGAGCAGGTAGCCGAATGCCCCTTTGCTGAGCAGCTGTGGAGGGAGGGGGCTGAGCTCCACAGCCGAGGGTCACCCGAATGCAGAGTCCTCTCTTGGGGCTACCAACTGTGGCACACACCCCACTCCTGGGCCCAGCTGCTTGGGGACCCCGTGTAGCACGTGCCTCTGAGGTGGCTTAATGAATTCTGCAGCAGGATAAGCTGAGGACAGGCTGGCAGAGGGACAGGTGGAGGAAGCCGGTGAAGATGCTCCCTTGGAAATATCAAGGACAGGAACCCCTCACCCCAATCTGACAACAGGGACAGAGGCCCCAAATCGGAGAACGGGTCCCCTCTTGGGAGAAGCCCATCCCTCCCTCAGGTGAGAGGCCCACCAGACACCAGCCTGACCGTGAGCCACTGACCTCGGAGAGGATGACCTTGACGATGAGAAACGCGCTGGACACCAGCGTCGTGACCTGCCCAGGGGAGGGAAGGAGGGAGAGAGGGAAAACGAGCTGGGGAGTGAGTCCTCTGCCACGCTGCCCCTCGCACCAGCCCCGCCAGGGCCCGCACGCTGCCAGGAGAGGGCCATCTTACCGCAATCACCCACCAGTGCCGAAGCCGCAGCACCGCGTAGCCCAGGAGCAGTCCCGAGAAGCGGAAGAATGCCAAGACCTGGTGGGGAGGCGGGCAGGGGACCCACAAGCCATCACGGGCTAGCCAATGCCCCCTGCTCCTGCTGAAGGTTGACCTCCCCGTCCTGTCCCGATCCCCCAGGTTCCCTCTATGTGGGGTGTGATGCCTCAGGAGAGAAGGACCGAGTCAGTGTTTCTTGGGGGATGACTCGGATGTGACCTTCTTGGACAGGGGTCTACTCTTCTCCCTCACCCTTGGGGCTCTCTGAAGGGAGGGCCTTATCTAGGAAGAGCTCCCTGAGGGTGGGAGCCAAGTGTCCCCGATCAGACTAGGATGTGTGCTGCAGGAACAAGAGAATCCAGCCAGAGGCACGTCCCTGCACCTCCGCTGCCCCCGATGACCCCCTCCCTAAGTCCACTCACGAAGATGTCAAAGAAGGAAGTTTTAAAGTTGTAGTGGATGATCTCCTGCTCCAGGTTCTTCCGGATGCCTGTGTTGGTCTGGAGGAGGGAGATACGAGCAGCTCTGTAGGCAGAACCAAGTCCCCAGGGGTGCCTCACCTCTGGGAACGGTGAGCAAGCAGGGGGAGTGATAAGCCACTGCCCAAGGAGGGCCCCGAAGCACCAAGGGAGGACCTGAGACCCCAGCACTAATCTCGTTCTTCCAAGCACCCGGGTAACCCGGACGGGCAGGGCCTGGCTCCAGCATGGACACCTATGGGCACGCTGCCCAGGGAGGGGGAGGCATGGGGGGCCTCGGGGCTGTGCAGGGGAGGCAACAGTCCCCATGCAGGCAGGTAGGGCTGGCTGACTGGGTGCTGGGAGCCTGCCTCTCACATAATCTCATCTCCCCCTCTCCACTAGGGTGCTTCATCTTCCCAGCCAACTGTCCATCTGGGGTGATGGGGACCAGGGGTGGGCAGTGGTGTCAGACGGAGCCCCAGGTGGCAAATCAATTGATTAGGTTTGTGCTTAATGGGCAAAATCCATCAGGCTGCTAGAAGGAACGGCTAGCAACAGAGAGCGAGCAGACTCGTCCCTGCCCCAGCCACCCATATAGTTTCCATGGGACTCGACACGTTGGCTGGGGAGGGAGAGGATCTGGACAGATACCGAGAGCCAGGCTGCAGCCTGATTTCTCAGGAGGGATGGGGCGGCAGGCCTCGGCTTCCGCCAGCCCCCTGCAGAAGGGAGGAAACAAGAGGACTCTGGGAAATGGAGCCCAGGAGCCTGCAAAGTGAAGACCCTTCATGACCACCTAGACGAGAGCTTCTAATCCCCTAGCAGGTGACCCAAACTGAGGTGTGCAGGGGGTGCTTACTGACATCTAGGTGTTCCGAACCCTGAGTCTGAATCCCAGAGCGAGCTGAGCATCTGGAATCTTTGTGAAGCTCCCAGGTGACTGCAGTGCTTAGAGCAGAAGCCAGTAGCCCAGGCAGCCCCCTCGTTGACACATGAACACCGCTGAACATCCCCACTGTGCCTCTTGACCTCAAGACCCCCCTGAGCCCCGTGGAGGCTCACATGCCACCCCCCACACTGACATCCTCCCACCCCAGCCTGGCCCTCCTCTTGAGCTCCACAGCTCCTCCAAGCCCTAAGAGCTGCGGCCCCTCAGAGGTCTCCCCCTGCTTCCCCCTGGGCACATGCAGGTGCTGATGGCGATGGTGTCCTGACTCAGGGAAGCCAAGCACTGGCCCCTGCCAGTCTCTAGCTGTAAGACCCTTCTGGGGCTCTTGTAGCCACTGGGCAACGCCCAGCCTGTTCAAGAACTAAAAACATACATGCTCCAAAACATGAAAATAAAGCCACAAAACCAAAAATTAATCACATTTTAATTGAATGTCTATCAAGTGAAACATGATGGCTAACTCCACGAATGGCTAAGCCCAGCATTCTGAACTTTTCATTACATCTGAAAACAATTTGGAGATCAGAGTTCTCGATTTGCAAGAGTTCCCAAGAATGCACGAGGACTGCTGAGCAATTCTACCCAGTACATCCAGATAATTTCAAAAGTAAAATTATCAAAATTGTTTCAGCTGTCTGCTGGCAAGAAAATATATACTGAATGAGAGCTGTGGGTGACTTTTAGTGCTTGCTTTGATGCTGGCAGGGACCTTCAAAAGGAAGAATGCCTCCCGGGGCGTCGGAGAGGTGCAGTTGGTCGAGCATCTGACTCTTGGTTTTGGCTGGGGTCGTGCTCTCAGGGTTGTGGGATGGAGCCCCACGCTGGGTTCCACATGCAGGGCGGACTCTGCTTGAGATTCTCTCTGCCCCTCCCCCAGGTCTCTGTGTGTGTCTCTCTCCAATAAATAAATAAATAAATCTTAAAAAAAAAAGATGTTAAAAAGGAAGAATGCCTAAGACATCAGAAGCTCTTCAAATGGCCCTGGACCTTATGGGGCTGCAGCTTTCTCACTGGTAAAGAGGGTCCCCAGAGTCCCCCATGGCTCAATCTTGTTGAAGGTGCCAGTTCATCTATGTGCTCAAAGGACAATCACCCCCAGAGCCCTCTACCTGAACACTTGTCACACCTCAAACTTGTCCTCTTCACCCTTAAACCAGCCCCTCCCTGAACTCCTCACTTCCATCAACAAACTCGTTTTCCTATCATCAGAGCTTGAGACCTGGAGGAAGGGCACTCTGACCCGCTCTGCAGAAGGAAAACAAGGGAAGGCTCAGAGAAGCCGAGTCCCTCATTGACATGCCGCAGTGAATACAGAGGAGACGCTGAGACCCACAGGGCCTGGGAGCTTTGTTCTCACAGCTCCTGCCTCTGTGGTCGGGTCCTGCTCGGGGCCGTCAGCGCCTGGAGGTCAGGTGCCATGGCCCGCTGGCCTGGCACCACGAGCCAGGGAGGAGGGTGTCGACCCAGCACTGAGAGGCGGCCCCACCTCCAGGCTGCTGAGCCCAAACTGGGGGACACTGGAGTTGTGTCCAAAACGGAGAGGGGGAGCTAGGAACCACCAGGAACTGGGAGTTTTTACCGGCTGGCCCTGCACCGTGCCCTCTGCGTGTAGCACAGCGCCTCGGATGCATCAGGGCTTTGAAAACTGCTGAGTGGATGGATGAAGGAATGACTGAATGGAGCCAGAGAGTAACAGAAGCCAAAAAGAAGACAAAGGTTTCAACCATACAACCACCGTCCACTGGGCTCTCTCCGCCCTCCTCACGAGTGTCCACTAGAGGGCAGTTTGGCACAGAGGTCAAGGGTGTGAACCCTGCAGCCTGAGGGTCCAGGTTCAAACTCTGCCCTTCTTCACCTACTTGCTGAGGAACCTTCGACAATGACTCCAGCCCTCGGAGCTCCCTTTTCTTTGGAAGATGAGAACGGGTGTTCCTAACTTCCCACTCTTCATTTTACCGGGAAATCTAACCCCCGCCAGAGACCATCCTCCCGTGCGGCAGCTACAGCTGGAGGAAGGCCCAGGTGACACCCCGGCCCCCGGCGCAGTCTGGGGTCCACTCACGTTCAGCTCGATGATCCAGAGCAGGGAGATGAAGAGCAGGTCGAAGGTGACAAAGAGACAGAAGGTGCGGCGGACATCAGAGATGGCGCGGCGCTTCTCCGGAGGGGGCGGGAGGAAGTGCGAGGAGAGAGCCTGGCTGTGGGACAGCGACGAGCCAAGGGAGGCCACGGCGGGCAGGCTGCGCTCCAAGTCACGGGCCAGCTCCCCAGACAGTTTGTTCATCCTGATGGGCCCCCACCTCACGGCGGGGAAGGCGGGGCCTCAGCTGCAAGGCTGCAGGGAGGCGGGTGACTGGGTTAGGCGGCCTGGTGAGGGCCTAGAGGTCCTGTTAGTTAACCTCCTTCCCTCCGCAGCCCCCCCCACGCCGTGTGCTCCCAAACGCATTTGCCCCCTCTCACATCCCAACCCCAAGGTGGCCCAGGGCCCTCTAAGCCCAAATTGTCCCCAGCAGCCCCACTTCTGAGCTGGAGGGGGTTGAGCGCCCCTCTCTCTCTCATTCCTCCTCACCAACTCCTGCCCCGCAAAGCCCAGCAACCCACAGTTCACCCTTGGAGGGATCTGGGGTCCTCCCGGCTGCTTGAGGGCACAGCCTGCTCCTGCCAGGCCTGCTGGAGGTTGAGCCTCTGGTCCTGTCAACAGCCTCTCGGGCCTGCCCCCACCCCCCCAGGAGAAGAGGGCCCCAAGCTCTGTTCTTTGTTTGCCAAGCACAAAGCCACATTCCCTCCCAGCAGCCAGCCCTACCCTCCCACCCCCTAATCCATGGCAACTGGGAGGGACTTCCTAGAGCAGCGTCTCTGAGTGCTCTGTGCCGGGACAGGGACAGCCGTATGAAGGAAGGACATCTTGGTCCCTTCTCTCCAGCTTCACCCCCACTGCCCCCATGTCAGGCCCACTACTATCCTCTCCCCTGGTGTGACAACCAGCCCTCTGGGTGAGTCTGCCTCTCTCACCCTGCGACAACTCTTCTCGCCACAGGCAGAGGAAGGTCTGCCAAACACTGATCACAGCCCGCCTTCCAGAGCCCTCCGGCCCAGGCCTTGCCGTGGCGGCCCCACCCACTCTTCCAGAAACTCCTCTTACAAGGCAGATACGGCTCACGACCACCCCACCGCCACCCTGGCCTTCTTTTCGGTCCTGCCTCGGGGCCTTGTACCTAGCTCTCCCCTCCCCAGTCCTTTAAACAAGCAGCTCCAAAGTCCTCTCCTTTGGGCGCCTGGGGGGCTTGGTGGTTGGGCGTCTGCTTTCTGCACGGGTCACTGATTGGGGGTCCTGGAATCGAGCCCCGCATTGGGCTCCTTGCTTGGCAGGAACCCTGCCTCTCCCTCTCCCACGCCCTGTTTGTGTTCCCTCTCTCCGTCTCTGTCAAATAAATAAAATTCTTAAAAAAAAAAAAAAAAAGTCCTCTTCTCCTCAGAACCGCCCCACACCCCCCCCCCCCCCCCCCCCCCCCCCCCCCCCCCCCCCAGGGACAGCAGTCTTGCTCTAGGACAGGGACCCCGAGCCTGTCACGATCTGCCAGCGTCTTAGTCCTTGTTCTGCCAACTCTCCGGGTGCAGGGCTTCCCCCGGCCGGGTCCCTGCCGTCTCTCAGCACCTAGCACAGGGCCCGGCACCCAGGAAGGCTGCACGACTGCCTGCTGGCGGCCACTGCAGTGGGTGTCCTGGTCCTCAGCTCCATGCCACGCTGCCGAGACATGGGTCGAACCTCAACAGAGAACCAGCCGCGGCCCGAGGCGAGGCCCGAGCCCCACCGCCCACAGAACCCTGTGCCCACAGTTGTGCTTCAGGCCCATGCAGGCCAGGACGGGGCCTTCTAGTTCACAGAGCAGGCAGCCAAGACTGAAGGGGCAACGGCCCGAACTACCCCTTGCCTGTGCAACCATGGGCCGAAACTCTTATGAACACTAGGGCAGGGGCCTGGAGGACTCCCTGCCGGCCGCACAGTCCCCAGACCCAAGGTCTCTGCTCCACCCATGTGCTGGCAAAGAGCCCACAGCGGCCCTGTCCCCGGGGCTCAGCCCAGAGCCAGAGGAAGCCGCCTCAGTGTGGTGGTGCCCATGCTTCTGGGGCTTGGTCAGAGTCTCCCTGAATCTTCTCTCATGCCAGAGAGCCAGGCTTGGGGGCTGGTGGGAGGGGAACCCTGGATGTCGGTCTCTGGTCCTGGGAAGGCAAGACCTAACCAGTGCCCCCCCGCCCCGATCTGCTATCCCCTCATACCTTTGTCATGTCTACTACCTTCTGGGGCCCCTCAATCTATCAGGTCCCGAGCAAGCTCCCCATCTGTGACTGGCAGGGGATTCTGAGCAAGCCAGTGTGTCCACCCCTCTGCCTCCGTGCAAGCCCCAGTGGACAGGAGTGGGCTGGTCTCAGCAGAGGCAGCCGCACCAGGCGCCCCCCCAACAGCACACTCTTGGGTTTGCCATGCCTGGCTCATCTGGAGGGCACTGAAGGAAAGCCGGGCCCAGCTCTGGAAGGAGGCGGTCAGAGAGGAGATGTGACAGGCTGCCGGCAACGGGACCCCCCAACATCCGTCAGCTGGACCTGGTGGCAGACAGAACGCGCAGCGCATCGCTCACTGTGACAGGGCCATGGCTCCAGGGTGGGTGACATTTCCGTGTCTTTAATGGCCCTCTTGTCTGCTGCCAGACCTGTTTCCATTTCTCTTCCTCCTTCCTGTCTTTCTCCCAAACCGCCTTTCTTTGTGTCTCTGTATCCCGCTCCCGTGACCATCTTTATGGGTCTTCCTCCCCAAGTCTCTCCCATCTGTGAGTCTGTCTGCACCGCCATCAGCTCAGTCTCACTCTCCCTTCCTCTGTGTGTGTGTGTGCGTGCGTGTGTGTGTGCGCGTGTGTGCGCACATGTGCATGTGTGTCATCTTCCTTATCCACTCCTCTCCCTCTTCTCGATCTCACTGCAGGGTGCTGTGGCTTCTCTCCTCCCAGGCTGCTCCCAAGTCTGTCTGGCGTTGTCCCCAGCTCCCTTCCTCCCTCCCTCCCTCCCCGGGGACAGGACTCGGGTGGCAGCAGACTGGTGTGAGACCCACCCCCCTCCTCTGGGAGTGGCAGCGGCATTGACACACACATGCAGACGTCCTCGGTGAAGCGAGAGATACAGATGAGGGCTGAGAGCAAAGGTGCTGGGGGAATCCGGGAGAGCTGCAGACGCAGGGGTGTGTGGAAACCAGGCAGGGCTGGGGACAGCAGGCCAAGAGGCGGTGGGGGTGGGTGGTGGGGGTGGTTCTACATCACCCTCCACCATGAAAGCTGCTCAGAAACCAAAGAACACATACAGTAGAAGGAGTACTGGTCAGGGATGAAGACCTGAGCGCCAGTCCTGGGGAAGCCACTAACCCTGAGTAACCAGGCAAGTCCTCACCAAGGCCCTGCTTCTTTATCTGGGGGGAGAAGTGCTTTTCCAAACCCCTTTCTTCAAGCAAGAGAAACTTAGAGAAAGAGAGAGAGAGGAAAAGAAAGAAAGAGAAAAAGAAAAGAGGAAAAAGGGAAAGGAAAAGAAAAAGGAAAAAAGAAAAGAAAATCTTACTTAGAATCTAAAATAGAAAAAAGATAAAAATGAGACTGCTCTGGGTCATGCCACAGAAGGTGGCCACAGACAGTCCCCCTGGGCAGACATTCCTCAAACCCCAGGGTTACCCCAGGGGCACTTCCTTAGGCCCAGTTTGAAAACTGCCCACTCAGATGACGTCAAAAGCTCTCTGGGCTCCATCAAGCCACCTGCCAGTCTAAGAGGCGGAAATCATCTCGGCCTGGAACTCCTCTGAGTGGTCCCAAAGCACTTGTGCTCTGGTCCCCTGGCCCTGGGGGTGGAAGGTGGCAGCTGGCCTCCGCCCCACCGTGCCCACCATCCTGCTGAGAGGGAGGCAGAAATGAGTGCTGCGGGTGGGAGACAGCAGGGCTGCCACCAGGGACCTCCGGAAGCAGCTCCCCCTGCCCCACCCAAGCCCCTGACCAGGCGTCAGGAGCAGAACAGCACGCGTGGGGTGAAGAAGTCGGCCCTGGGGTTAGCTGCAGACTTGACACTCACTGGACCTGTGTTTTAGGAGAAGCTTAGCTGCACTGGCTTGGGGAAGGGGATGAGGAAATTGGAGGTTTTATCATCCCAGGTTGCAAGGGAAAGAGGGGTGAGGAGGAGGGGGCAATCCACCCCAGATTACTCCAGTTCTTTCAGTTCCTAAGGCAAAGAGGAGGGGCAGGCACGGGCCCCCAGGGCCTGCCAGGCCTTCTCTTACCCCAGGAAATGCCACTGTTGGCCAGACTGCAAGAGGAGCTTTTGGGTAGGGTCTGAGACTCAGGGCAGACAACAGTAGGCAGCTGACACTGTTGAAAGAGAGCTGGACTCCCAGGTTAGGGTTCAAGTCTCAGTCTGCCCTTACGAGCTGGGCACTCTGGAGCAAACACAACCATTCTGAGATTCAGTTTCCTCCGATACATTAAATAAAGGCAACACTAATATAGTTAATGCCTTTGAACCATGCCCTTAAAAATGGTTAAAAAGCGGGGCGCTTGGGTGCCTTCAGTGGGTTAAGGGTCTGCCTTCAGCTCAGGTCATGATCCCAGGATCCTGGGATCAAGTCGCACATCAGGGCCCCTGCTCAGCGGGGAGTCTGCTTCTCCCGTGGCCTGCTGCCCATCCCCCCTTGCTTGTGCTCTCTCACTCACTCACTCTCTCAAATAAAAAAAATCTTTAAAAAAAGAAAGAAAAGAAAAAAGAATGGCCCAAGTCATTCCAGCTCCAGGCACAGGTGAATTCCTGATGCAGGCCACCAGTGGCAGGAAGCGGGGGCTGTCCTGGCTCCCCGCACAGGCTCTAAGGGGCAGTGCCAGGGCCGACCGCCAACACTACAGCGTCCCACTGGTGCCCGGCCCCGCTGCAGGCACCCCCCGTTCCCCATTTCCACAGCTCTTAGCGGACAAGGGCACAGATGGGGTCCTTGCCAGCTCTCAGTCACAGCCCAGACCAGAAGCTCCAGCCACCTCTGCCACTCAACACCTGGAAGGCCTGCAGCTCCCAGCGGGGGTTCCCGGGCCGAAGCAAGTCTACAATTTAACAGTGCCACGTACTCACTGTACCAGCCTCAGAGGCTATACAGGACACTGGGGACACCTGTCTTGACCCCGCTATCTGGGGCATCAAAGGACACAGCGATGCATGTGAAGTGCCTGGAACAGTGCCTGGAACCACAGAGTAAAGGCTCAGCAGACGTTAGCCCCTGATGCCACAGTCCCCTCCGAGGCCCCCGCCCTTTAACACGCCCCG